CCCCCCCCAAACAAAAAAAAACAAACGGGTGCCTTTCGAAGGTGTCGCTCTGGAACGTCACCTTGCCCGGCTGGTACCTGATTAGAAAAACTCCGCCAAAAAAGGGAGAGAGTGGGGTAGGAGATGGAGGGTCTTGTTTAGGGTTTAGCGTTCGAGGCTTTAGGGTTCAGGGTTTGAGGCTTTAGGGTTGAGGGTTTGGGGTTTGAGGCTTAGGTCTGGGGTTTTGGGTTTTGGGGGTTTGACTTCGGAGATTGGGCTCTTTGAGGACTATAAACATGGCTTAGACCGCCGGCTCCCCTCTACCGAAATCTGCTGGACATCCCTAAACCCCTAAACCCTGAACACTACATTCTCCATAGGTGGAGTGTCTTGGTAGATGAACAATACGAACATGTTTTCGGGCCCGGGTGTATGTTAGTAGCTATGGTATGATATAACTACATGCAACAGCTCTGAGGAATAGAAACCCCAAACTTATGATTCAGGCCCCCAAAGTAGGTCGACAGGAGTGCAAAGTTACTGGCTTCCAGGGTCTATGTGGGAGCTTCCGAAAATACGGGGTACCTTATTTGGGGGGTCCTTATAATGAGGATACTACTATTTGGGGTTCTATATTAGGGTTCCCTATTTTCGGAAACCCCCACGTACCTTTAGCTCCTTTAAGAGGGCTTTAACTTTAGGCCTACCTGTAATGGTTGCTATTAGGGTGCCCGTCAGGTCCATATAGGCCATAACTCACTTGCCCTGATCCGAGGAAGGACTTCGGGCTAGGAATCAAAGCTTTGTGTCTGTAGGTTTTAGCGCTGATGGGACTTGTGTCCGACAAGAGAAACACATAATGTAGGGGCCTTAATAGTTAGAATAAAGCTTTGGGCTCCTTTGTAGTATAAGTATAATAAGGAACCTAAGGAATCATATTGCTAATTCTTTAGGCTTTCGTAATATACTCGGCGCCTTGGATGGGGTTTTTGGGTTCAACTCTTTTGAGCAGACGCCAGGCTCCGGCGCTAAACCTCGCGGGGGGCATTGCTTGTGTGCTTGGCGTCGTGCGCAGGGTGAGTGGGCCCACATCATCCTCAGGACTTGGTTTTATAGGGTTCTGCGATAAGTAGGGGTCTGGGAGGGGGGTAGAAATGGACAGAGCTTACCCCAAGTGCCAATATCGGCTAAGCATCTGAGTATACAGCATGATGCTTAAGCCCAAAAGACGAATGGCTGGGTCCCAGACCCCTAATTCCAATGCCGGCGAGGCTTGTGGGGCAAGCATGATGCGTTCTTTTTTGCAGCTCATCGACTCACTTTCTACTGCTTGCGCGGCGCTTGTGGCTCAAGACGCATCTTTGGCAGCCTTGGTGGGGAAAGTGCTTAAATTTCTCTACTTACACGGGCTGTGATCAGTTCAGAAGAGGGTTTGCTTTGGTCTATTTTGTATCGTTAGGAAGAAGTCTTATCTACCCCACAAGCAGCTTGAACACCAAGCCAAGGCACACCCTGTCTAGGCACCTGTATTTTTCGCGGAGCAGTACGCGAACAAACCGTATACTTTGAGGTCTTGTAAACTCGCAACCACGTACCTACTTCGGTTACTTCACGATATGACCTGTATAGAAACCTTATAGAACCATAAAGCAACTGGTTGACCCTCGTAGAAGCCCTAACAGGCTAGACGACAGCGAGGGGAGCACTTTCTCGCGAGAGTTTTTGCAATTTTTGAGGCTTCGGGTTCAGGGTTTCGGTTAGGCCCCGGAGGGTTTAGGGGTTAGGGTTTAGGGCCCAGAAGCCCTAAACCCTAAGAGTTTAGAGGTTGAGGAATTTGATAGGGTTTAGGGCCTGGAGCCCGAAGCTCTACATCTGAAACTTCTGAAACTCGAAACTTGAAGACACCTCAGGTTTAGGGTTTCGGAGTTTAGGGGTTTAGGGTTTAGGGGTTTGGGGGTTTAGGGTTTAGGGGATTCGGGTTTAGGGGTTTAAGGGTTTAAGGGTTTAGGGTTTAGGGTTGAGGGCTTAGGGGTTTAAGCATCATAAGCTCCATGTAAGGATGGCCAGGGCCCATACGATTGAGAAGGCAGCCGCGAAAACTACCTGGGAAGTTTCGAGTTTTGCTTTTGTTTCAAGGGCTTAGTGCTTCCATGGGCTTTAAGGGTTTTAGGGTTTAGGACTTAGGGTTTGGGATTTACGGTTTAGGCTTTAGGGTTTAGGCTTCCATGGTTGAGTAGGGAGTTTTCGTTGCTTCCATTTTTGAGGTGCTCAGGGTTGGGCTCAGGGTTTGGAGTTTCGGCTCGAGGCGCAGGTTTTCTGGTGATTGGGGGGTGAGGTGCCTGCTAGGGTGCAGGGCTCTGGGGGGTTTAAGATGTTTAAACCCTAAACCCAAAACCCTCAACCCTAAACCCTTAAACCCCTGAACCCTAAACCCCTAAACCCGAATCCCCTAAACCCTAAACCCCTAAACTCTTAAACCCGAAGCCCTCGAACCCAAAGCCCTGCGGGTATGAGATGCTTAAGCTTTTGAAGTTTGGGATCTTGCGGCGGTCTAGAGGGGCCTGGAGCACTTGGGGTATACGGGGTCTGGAGAGGAGGTAAGCACCTCAAGCACCTTACAACAACCCCTTAAACCCTAAACCCTAAACCCTAAACCCTGAAGTTTAAGCTCTAAGAGTTTGGTAAAGAACAAATGAACAGGTAAGCCCAAGCCCCGAATTTTGGGCTTCGGCTGTCTTAGGGTCTAACCGACCTTTACGGCTTGCCTTCTCGGGTTCAGGATTTTAGGGTTTAGGGTTTAGGATCTAGGGTTATTGGGGTTTAGGGCAAGGCCCCTACAAGATTGACAATGGACAAGCCACAATCAACCCCCCCCGAGATTCCCTCAAACTCAGAAGTTCACAGAAACCTCGTCTCAAAGGGACCTGTTTCGGGTTTAGGGGAACTCCTCCCTAAATCCTAAACGCTTTAGCCCTGGAGCCCTAAATCCTTAGTAACCCTAAACCCTAAACCCTAAACAGCCCCAGTGCCGGCCCAGGCACGCCGCTGAGGAATCCCAGGTACACAGCGACGTTCATTTGTGCAGCCTGAGTCTCTTTGACCATGTTTAGTTGAGACCTTTTCGCCAGGAAGTAGGGTTTGGGGTTTTAGGGGTGTTTAGGGTTTAGGGCTTAGGGTTGACAAATCAAAGGCAGGACGCATGTGTCTTCGGCAAGCAGCCAACGATAGGAATTACGGTAGGAACTTGTGGGAATAATGATGACAACTAGCTTAGTGCAGTCTAGTCATGCAACAAGTGTAGGTCAGCCTGCCTCTTTCGCGTGAAGTACCTTGGCTAATACATCGGCCCTAAAACGTAGAATAAGGTTTTGGGGTACATTACACCAAGACCATAATTGTAACAACAAGGAGCCCCCAAAATATATTTCTTTCTTTCGGATGGTGCAAAGTCCAATCAGGACGTACCACTAGCATGAATTCAAAGGTGAAACAAAAAGAGCGACGAGCTGGCCGACTGATATTGGTAATTGTTCGAGGACCTGCTGAGCTCTGGGATCTCCAAGTATCAAACGCTGAGGGATTTGCAAAAGCCCGCCCTAAACCCTAAACCCTAAACCCTAAACCCTAAACCCTAAACCCCTAAAGCCCTAAACCCTAAACCCGAAACCCTAATTAGGCTTTAGGGAGGATCTTGAAAGGAGCTTGCTCTCAAACCCCAAACAGCATCAAACCTCAGAGGCTCTGTTAGATGCGCCTATGTCTACGGCCTTCAATGAAAATGCTACACACCTGCGGTTATAACTTAGGGTTTAGGGTTTAGGGTTTAGGGTTTAATAACCTAGAAGGCTCCATTGAACTTCGTTTGGGCTGCCCTAGTACACTAATCTTCAACTGGTAACCCCAAGAGATAGAGGCTCGTAATGTAGGGGTCGCAAAATCTGGTAACTTAACAACACTCATCGTTATTTCAAACAAGTGTACTGTGCACTGTGATAACCCCTATACAAATACATACACACCCCTTTCCCAATCCTTCCGTGTCCGACTGTCCTAATTACCAAGGCCCCCATTTTTTCGAACCCGTTTAGTAACAGAGTCAACCTTTATGGAGCCCCTCTTGAGGGACCTCTACTTAAGAACCTAAAGGAATCCTACTCTAATCAGTCAGGCCTAAACCCTCAACCCCAAACCCTTACAGCACAGGAACCCCTAAACCCCTAAACCCTAAGCCCTCAACCCTTGTGGACCCCGCTAAATGGGGCATTTAAGGTAGGAACCTGGAAAAGAGAAGGCTCCTGAACCCTAAACAACCTTTATAGAAGGCTTTAAAATACCCTTATGTACAGAAACCCTCCTCTTATCCTTCGAAGAAGAAGAATTGCGAGAGTATCAAATTCTTCGAGGCTCTTCGGGCTTCATAGAACCCTTGAAGAAATCTCTAAGGTATACTTAAGTAAAGGAAGCCCTACACAATAACCATGTAAGATAAACCCTAAACCCCTAAACCCACTCTAAATCCCTAAACCCCCTTAAAACCCCTATAAACCCCTAAACCCCCTAACGCCCCTAAAAACCCAAAAGCCCCTTAAAACCCAATTCCTCATTCCAAGGCCCGGTCGGTTCCACGCTTGGCTGGCTCTTCGACAGCCTGGACGAGAACGCCGCGGTTGGCCAATTTCGGCTTTTTTCTGGTGTTTTTTGGAGCTTTAAAATTTAATTGGGGTTTTTTGTGGTTTCAAACGTTTAACTGGGGTTTTGGGATGTTTGGGGGTTTTAAGGATTTGGGGGCTTTTGGGCTTGTGGGGGATTTCGAAGGTTTTCAACGTTTTTGAGGCTTTAGGGCTTGAAAGGGTGGCTTGGGAGGTCTCACCTGGATGGCCACCACTTGCAGCCAGCTGCCGCAAAGAGCTGCTGTCACCACCTGGCTAGGGCTTTAGGGGTTTAGGGCTTTAGGGCTTGCATGCCGGATCTATCGAGAACACTGGTTGATCTGAGCGAATTTCACACATCGTAAAGGCCAGGACCCAACACAGGGGTATTACTTGAATACTTAGAGCCTCATGCTCGGGGCTAAGCTGTAAGCCTAGACCCTTAACTCTCAACGTCCCAACCTTTGGGCCTAGGGTCTAGGGTAGGATTCGTGTATCTTCGTAAGGAAACAAGGTAATCAACCCAGAAGCCCAGAACTATTCAAGGGTCTAGGTCCGGATGGTACAGGGACCTTCAAAATTGGAATGGGGGTTTGGGAGGTATATAGTCTAGTGTAGTTGTAGAAAGACCATGAGAGATGATCTCGGAATGTCATTATTAACCGACCACCCCTCCCCTCCGTCCCAGATTCAGACAGATGATGGAGCCAAACAACCAAGCCAGGCAGGCGAATGGAAACCAAATCACCAACAGCAGGACGTCGCCGAGGATGATATCCTCTCAGCACCAGAGGCTCCCTGTTCCGAGTAACTTTCAGTAAGGATCCCGCGAAACGGACTTCTGCTTTATCTCCCCTGAAGCTAGGCTTTAGGTATTGCTTTTCAAGTTTTGGGGTTGGGAGGTCGGGCTCATGGTGCTCGAGCTGTGCATGTATGTTTATGTATGTGTGTGTGTGTTTTATGTATGTATGCATGTATGTATGCATGTAAGCATGAACGAATGCATGTATGCATGCATGCATGTCCGCGGACACACGTGCAGGTAGAGAAATCAACAGGCAGATATGTAGTCTCGTTGCGGCGGAGGGCAACATGGCTGGATTGCTTGAGAACGTACTCACTCTCTCAGAGCGCCGTAGGGGCAACGGCCCCAGTCTTCCACACGTTAAACCCCCAGTCCTGATCCCAACGGATCAACGGAGAGGCTGAGTAAGCCCTTTTATTATAGGTACCTTTGAGGATTTCTTCGACGCGGATGAAACCAAAATCTTAATTTCTCAAGGCCCAACTCCGAAACCGAAACGGCTTGATCTCTGCACAAGCCCTCAGCCCAGCAGCGTGTTGCACGCGTTTCGTGAGCCCCTACGCCCTAAACTCTGAACCCTATTTCCTTTAGGGTCCCAGGGTCCTTGCTCGCCGCATGGAGAACCAAGACTATCCAGGCGGGAAGCCGTAGCAAAGCCACCTCGGTAGCAGTAGCAGCAGCAGTAGCAGTAGGAGTAGTAGTATTAGTAGTAGTAGTAGTAGTAGTAGTAGTAGTAGCAGTAGTAGTGCTAGTAGTAGTAGTAGTAGTAGTAGTAGTAGCAGTAGTAGTAGTAGTAGTAGCAGCAGTAGTAGTAGTA